ATTTTAGGAGGAATCAAAGAAGCGTTGTGCTGAATTGGAAGAAACTCTGGATAAGAAAATGAAGGAGCTGGAGCAGAGCGAAAATAAATTGGTAAGGTGTTAACGTTTCGGTTGCAAAAAAAAGGCAGTTGCGGTTAAAAAGCATGAGTGGTTCTGTAGCTGTTTGCGTTATCGTTATCTTTCAGGTTTTGCATTCAAAGCAGTCGCGCAGCAGATTTCCGGGATTACTTAAAATTACTTTCATTATTAAACCAATTACTACTCTACTACTACACTACTGAGGAAGGAAGGAATGAGGAGCAATTTCCCGGTTATTTTTTGAAGTGCAAAATCTTTTGGGGTGTTAAATTCTCTAGATGTGCAATCATCATTATGCACACCTTTGCTGCTGTTGCTGCTGCTACTGCTGCTGCTGCTGCTGCTGCGCGATGTGGCTGCGATACCAGGGACAGAAGTAGTAGGTGGCTGTTCGACGATAAGAGAAAGACAAATTTCAACGGCGCAGCAGCGAAAAAACGATTTGTACACCTCCTATTCCGACAGTATGTTCATTCACACATATGGAGTTTTTCTGGGTTTGGAATTAGCGGTGATTCGTTGTTCGGCGCAATGCACAATTTCATTTTTGCCGCATTCTCCTCTTTACGCCCACTCGAAGCAACCATAATTTTTTGTAAAAAATGCTGGCGAAATTTCTTTCTCCGCTAACTTTTCCGTGTGTTTTTCGTTGCTTGGAAATAGAAACTGTTGCTTTTCAGAAGCAGGAACGCTTGCTGATGCTGGAGACGAAAAGCAAGCTGGAGAGAGAACGAAACGCACTAATCCAGGAACGGGAAATGCTTACCAAAAATGAACAACAAGCAATACTGAACAAAGGCGGAACAATGAGGGCGCCGATTAAGTTGAAGCTCGGCTTCAGATGAGTCCGTGCTGCAGCGATATCAGCTCAAAGAATCGTAGGCAATGAACCCGTAGCCCCTGATTTCCCTGTGATCATTGGTCCATTCGATAGCTACGCTGTGTATATGTGTGTGTCGCACAAACTGAAGCCCGCTTTTTCTACGCCTTCGGTGTATCCCCCTATGTTCGTATTGTTTTTATTTTCTTTTAAGATTTCTTATGTTTTTTATTTTGATATGTGGGAATAAAATTTAATGCTATACACATTCTGTTCGTGGATTTCGTG